ACATTTTCAAGTTATTTTTTAACACCTTGCCAGCGACCAGCACAGGGTGATCCACATGATTATCCCCGTTATTCGGCCGAGTGCGATCGATTGCATGAATCGGAACCACGACTCGGTGGGGATGATGGTGTTCGGGCGACGGAGCACAGTCAGTAAAGGGCCCGCTAGTTACTGACTCTTCCCATTTCCCTGCTCCTTCCTGTCGTCCCCTGTCAGCGGCATTTTCTCCTGGCAGTCTTTCCTGTAGTGACCCACCTTCCCACACCAAAAACACTGACCCTTAGGAGGGCAGTCGGGTGTATGGACGGCGTTGATCGTGGCCCGATGGGTCTGGCCACGAAAGCTTCTCCCATCCCTGGAAGCTGCTCTCGCGTACTGCATCAGCGCATCAGTTGACTCCGCCACTCGTACTGCTTCGAGGAACGATGTCGGGCGGCTTCTGCGGACCTCAAACTGTATTTCATATTTAAGGCCGCTGACGTACTTATCCAACCGCTCTGCTTCCGACATGTCGTCAATTTGGTCGGCGAAGCCCATAAATGACGCTGTGTAGTCTTGGACAGAAGCCATCTGCGACCATGCACGCAGCTTTATGCGAGCTTGCTCCGAGGCGGATATGTACTCGAAGCGATCTCGTAAGGCTGCGCCCCACTCCTTCCACGTGCGTATCTTGGTCACACCGAAGATTGGTTCTGCCACTTGGTTAACCACTGTAGAGGTCCCGTCTGCCACATGTGTCACACCTGTCGGCGTCCCTGTTTCCAAGGTCCGGCGCCACCATTCAAGCGCTGCACCTCGAAGAAGCGAAACCGCGTAATTAATACGCGTGGCGTCGTCATTAACTCCGGCTGCAGTAAAAAAGACTTCGACCCCGAACAGCCACCCTTTTACCGTAACCGTCTTGTCCGTAGGATTAAACGGGGGCGGGTTGGCGGGCTTTATCTTGATCGTCGTCACTGCAACTGGCGCTGCTGCCGCTCGCTGCCTATCTTCTTCTTCGAAGTCACGTGTGAGCGCATCCAGCGGATTGCTCATCGCTTGACTGTTGCCCTCGCCTTCGTCCACAGGCGACTCCTGACGCGCTTCACCTCGCGTCTGGCGTAGCTCGGCGTTTTCCTCCCGTAACGTTGTCACTTCCGCCATTAATGATTCCATGCCCTGCTTCATTTCTGCCACTTGCGCCAGCAGCCGGTTAACAGCCTCCTGATCCATGTGCCTAGCACTACGTCTGGTGGGCAGTCGGGTACCCGTGGCCTCCCGGCAAGTGAAAACACGAACTATCGGAGTCGGGCAGGATTGAACAATCCCTGCAACCAACCGTCGTGTAGTCACTAAACCAACCACACCCGTGCCACCAAACTACCCTCGAAAAGCGGGGTGAACTAGGAAAGTAGCTCTGATACCAGGTGTTATGAGTTGTAAAAGAGAGTGCGCAGGTAAACGAATAACGAGGCTGTCACTGAATCAACTGCGAATACAATGAATGCACAGACTAATGTAGGGCTAGCCTAGCTAGGAGGAAACCTCGGACAAGCGAGATTGGGTGCAGGTTTGGCGATGGAATTGCCGAAGGCGACGCGAGGAGCCTCGGCAGCGTTGAAATCGGCCGAACGTGCGAACTCCGAAATTCGGGTTGTACGCGAAGCAGTCAACCCCGATAAGGAATTCAGGAAAATTCCTTACACCCCCAGACTCCGACCCAAACCACGAATGCTGGTTACCTTGGTCTTTCCCGAGCCAAACCAAGCTCCCACAGCCAAGCCTAACCGCAGGTGCGTTCGGGGCTTGTGTTCGCCAGACTTGGAACCACAGGTTGTGATCGACTTGGAGCCTCCCAAGCCAAGCCAAGCTCCCATAGCTACGGCGAATGGACGAGAAACCATGTCGAACCGAACCCAGCAGAATGACCAGAAATCGAGGGAAATTTGGCTCGTCACTTCCCGGGTCCCACAAAATTAGTGAATGCTGGGACCTGGCTGTGTCTACTCCCCCAACTAGCCAGCTCCAGTGCGCCGTCCCTTGTGGTTCGTTCTGTTATGACGAAGCCAGAACACTGAAGATGGTAGGACGGGATTGGTAGGGGCTGCAATGGCGGACAAAAGCGGACTCTACGACCAGCCGTTTCGCTCACAAACTGTCCAGATGCGGGCTTGGCTTGAAAACCGTCCCTACCGAGCCTGCCGCATTCTGGTCTGCGAGATGCCATGGATACTGGTCCGGCATTCCGGCACTAAAGAATCAAGGCCTGCTGGCACAGCTTTCTCGCCCTCAAATGAACCGATTCTGGAATCGTTCTGGAGTCACTCACGGGGGGTCTTTCCCCTCCCCTTCTCACACACTCAGTGACTAAGTATTCGTGCTCTCTTGATAGTATAAAAACGAACGGCTTGATGACTTCAGTGGTGGTGGCAACGCCATAGTCAAACGCTTCCGAATGGCTACCGTGTCGCATTGCGTGTCCTCCGTTCTGGGAGTATCACGGAAAACAGTATCACCATCTCCGAGCAGGAACACGCGTTATCAGCTGATTCGTTTCCAGACACGAGCCTCACATGCTGAGTGTCATGCGTCTGGCTGCATCGGTAAAAGCTTCAGCAGAAGCAGCAGCAGCAGCACCTGTAACAGCAGCCTCCTTTTAAATAATTATTTTGCAATGAGGCCTTTTGGAACTCGCAATGATGTCAACCGTGGATGCCGTTGGAGGGGTGTTGCTGCTGCTGCTGCTGCGTCTTCTCCTGCTGCTGATGCTGCTGCTGCTGCCAGCAGCTCGCGGTCAGGAGGCCCAGCAGTGTCGGAGGCAGTCATTGTGGGTGGAGGATTGGCCGGCCTCGCATTGGCTATCGGCCTCCGGAACATTGGGATTGACGCGCAGGTATGCTGCTATTCGGAAGCAGGCATGGTGCTGGAATCAGGTACGTTAAGAATGCGGGAATCAGGGAAAACTGTTGGATTCATGTAAATAGCTCGACATTATGATGCATCGTTACCGTATCAGTCCATGCAATGATTGATCCTTCATTGTTCTGTTCCCAGTGTGTCTGCCTGTTGCAATATGAGGTTCATGCATAAAATGCAGACTGGTTCGTTATTCCACGTAACCATTGCATGTAACATGTTATCGTGCTTTTGGTCGTGCGCTGTGACTGCCTGTAGAAAACTTCGTGCGCCTTCTCCTCTCCACTGGACGTATGTCATTGTTAGCATCCCAGGCTCTACATGCTACCACCCATGCGACAACATGATGAAATTATTTTCACCCGCCATGCCATGCCTTTCTGTGCGATGCCCAATGTCGTGCCATGCTATGCCTGGTGCCACATCCCCACATGCAATGCCTCACGCCCATCCCCACGTGCAGGTGTAAGGGGCACGGGACGAGATTGTTAGGGTTGGTTCGCCCAACCACGGAACCTACGGCGAAAGCTTCTACGACGGCAGAATGACGGCGAAATGGAAGCACGTGGATGATTCTAGGTGAAACGGTGGAAATCGGCCTACGGTGGAGAATGGAAGCTACGGCGTGAGAAGCAAGAGAGAAATTGGGAAGAAACTAGAGAAATGGAGAAAGAAGAGTGAAGAAGTATCGAGATTGGAGTTGACAAGGGGAAATTGTGGTTCGAGACTGAGGCGTGTTCGAGAAGGTGCTGGATTCGGACTCGAGGAGTGTTCGGCGAATTCGGTTCGGTTCCGTGTGCGACTCGGGGTGAAACGAGGCGCACGCGGTTACTTGGGAAACAAGTGAAGTTACGAATCGCATTTTGTGTCTTGCCTGACTATAAACCTGTTTGTACTCATTCTGGAAAGATAACATTGGACAACATTGAAACCAATCAGATTCTGGAAATTGCTGAAGTGTGTATTGACAACTTCAAGCAGAGCTGCGCATATCGTTGGATTTGGGAGATCGTGGAGAACACGATAAGCAATAGCAAGTAGACTATTGCCGACTAAGGTGTTTACGATCCTAAGAACTGGTTCGTTATTCCACGTAACCATTGCATGTAACATGTTATCGTGCTTTTGGTCGTGCCTGTGACTGCCTGTAGAAAACTTCGTGCGCCTTCTCCTCTCCACTGGACGTATGTCATTGTTAGCATCCCAGGCTCTACATGCTACCACCCATGCGACAACATGATGAAATGATTTTCACCCGCCATGCCATGCCTTTCTGTGCGATGCCCAATGTCGTGCCATGCTATGCCTGGTGCCACATCCCCACATGCAATGCCTCACGCCCATCCCCACGTGCAGGTGTAAGGGGCACGGGACGAGATGCTAGGCGAGGGAACCCTCCTCACCCTCCACCCCAACGGGGTCTGGAGCACGTTTCAAAGCATGTCCTGAACTTGCTGCATCTCAAATCCTGCTCACAGGTGTATGAGGCCCGCAGCAAGGTGGGAGGAGGTGAGGGAACCCTCATCACCCTCTATCCCAACGGGCTCAGGGCACTCAACCGAATCGACCCTGCCATTGTGCCCCAGGCATGTGCCAGTGATGCCTTCATGTGATGGTGATGCCTGCATGTGATGGTGATGCGTGCATGTGATGGCGGTCTCTGCACTACATGTGATGGTGATGCCTGTATGGGATGGTGATGCCTGCATGGGATGGTGATGCCTGCATGTGATGGTGATGCGTGCATGTGATGGTGATGCGTGCATGTGATGGCGGTCTCTGCACTGCATGTGATGGTGATGCCTGTATGGGATGGTGATGCCTGCATGGGATGGTGATGCCTGCATGTGATGGTGATGCCTGCATGTGATGGTGATGCCTGGATGGAGATCTCCTTTTCCAGTGGGACCTCGCATCCAACATGACCACCTGCTTTGGTGTTCCCTGCTCACTATCCGCTGTTGCTTGCCTCCTTTCCCTCCCTTGACGCATTCCCTTTCGTCTCCTATTTCCCTCAGCTGATATCCCGTGGAGTACCGAACCCCACCGTTCTCAGCCGCTCTCTAACCGGCGAACTTCTTTTCCAGTGGGACCTTTCGTCCAACATGACCCCCCGATTCGGCTTCCCCATGCTCTGCATCCGCTGGCAAGAGGTGCTAGACGTGTTGCGTGGGATGCTGCCAAACGATGCCGTTTACACCGGACACAAGCTCTTGGGGTTTACGCAGGGAGCGGAGGAGGCGGAGGGGGAAGGGGGTGGTGGGGAGAGTGGGGCAGGCATGGGGAGTGGTTTGGTGAAATGCGTCTTTCGAAAGGTGTCCGGTGGTGAAGAGCGGTTGTTGGAGGTGGAGGTGAGTGGGGGAGAGGAGGTGGAGAGCTGAGGAAGTTGGAGGGGGGGGGATTTCTTGTGGGAGGTGCCAAGCAATGTCATGCCTGTGTCAATGCCATGGGCGATGCCATCGCCCATGGCAAAGGGTGTGTGGGGTGATGACTTGGGGTGATGATGATGTGGGGTGATGACTTGGGGTGATGATGATGTGGGGTGATGACTTGGGATGACAACATGGACATCGGTCTCTCTAGGTCATGTGACTGCCTCCTCCTTTTCTTCTCTCCCATATATTGCATTCTCCATCTGCCTCCTCGTACCCCTTTCCACCGCATTTCACCCTTTCTTTTCTTTCCCCTCCCATCCTCCAGACCCCTGTGCTGCTGGGGGCGGATGGCATTCATTCGGAGACTCGGAAGCACCTGCTGGGGGGGGAGGAGGGGCGCAATGGGAGTGGCGGGGCAGCAGGAGAGGGAGTGAGTCCGCGAGACAACGGTAGAACCATCTGGAGGGCCATCATTGACAGTTCCCTCTGCCCGCACCCCGTATGTGTCCCTCTGCCCACACCCAATATGTGCCCCTTGCTCCCAACTGGTGAATGTCTCACATGCCCAGCCAGCTATGTGTCCCTCTGTTCCCACCCCATGTGTGCCTCCTCTTAGTCTGCTAAGCCACACATTGTTCACAAACTATGCTCGGTACGACTCTGTTTGGTGCGGGCTCGCAGAATCGACTTACACAGTATGGTAAGTGTCTATTGCTCTCTGTCTGCCTGCTGAGGGCTCTCAAGGTGACTTTTCACTCGGCTCAGAAGTCAAGTTCTCTCTGTCTGTTTGCTGAGGGCGCTTAATTACACACACGAGCAATATTCGGTGTCAATTCAACCTCTCAGCAGCTGCTGTAGAATGTAAGGCAGGCAGGCTACGTCTGCTGCGAGGCCTTCCCTCCTTTCATCCTTCTCCCTTCTTCTGTCCTGCCTGTCCCTCCTGCAGCTGCTTCTGCCACGGCACGCACTCTCTTTTATCGGCCTCAACCGCACTGCAACCGTCGTCGACACTGGAGGAGGAAAGCTCTACTGGGTGTTGACGCTCGTTGATTCCGCCGATCCGACGGTCAGCAGCGCGCGGTCCAGCGGGGGGGAGGAGGCACAGGAGAAGATCCTACGGGCATTCGAGGGTTGGGACGTGATGACTCAGCTGGTCAAGGCCACTCCCCCCGACCTCATTCTCGAACGCCGCGTGCTCGACCTGTCGCTCCTGCCCTTCTGGGTCAAAGGCAGGACGGCTCTCCTGGGAGGTATGACTGTCTAGGGAGGTACTGCTCTCCTGGGAGGTATGCCTGAGGTGATGGGGTGTGGGATATAGGTGGAATTAGGTTTTTCTTTCTTTTTACTTTTGAGTGTGTCATGCTGGGAGGTACAGCCGGGGTGATCGCGAGCAGGATTTTACGTACATCACTTTAGATTATGAAGGTCATAGCAAGGGAATTTTGTTGCAACAGCCATGGATAATCGCAAACGGAATGCCCATATGAAGAACGCACTCACAAGCAGCACAATGTGTAGCAATCCTGCCAAGTCTATCTGGCAAAAGCCTATCCACTCTTGCCTCCAACGAAGTTGTGTGGTGCCCCAGTCTGCTACCGTGCATGGTCGTTTGGTATGCCCCTGTTTGTGACAGACTTGGATTTCTGTTTGAACCTGTCTTGAAGTATGACTGGCAATATGGCAGTGGGCCAATCTTCCTGTGCTCGTGTTTCACTCCCCATATCCCCCCCACCTTCGCTGGATTACCCTCTGCCTGTCCAGATGCGGCGCATGCAGTGACGCCAGGGCAGGGTGCCAATCTGGCGTTTGAGGATGCGGCTCAGCTGGTGGAGTGCCTCCGGGCGCACTCGCATGTCAGGTGGGCTGTCTGGTGGGCTGTCTGGTGGGCTGTCTGGTGGGCTGTCTGGTGGGCTGTCTGGTGGGCTGTCTGGTGGGTTGTTAGGTGGGTGCTGTCACATGCCGGGTGGGTATAATGGCATGCCGTTGTTTTTGCTGAGGTGCTTGTTTTCTATTGCTCCATTTCACCATGCCGCATTCGCATGGTTTTGCACCCACCCACCCTCCCTCTCATCCTCTCGTCGTCTTGCCGTCCCACTCCCCCTCTGTAGCCTCAAAAACCGTAATCCATCCTCCTCCCACCCTTACTGCTGCCTCACCGTTCCTCCTTTAACCCCCGTGTCATCCCAAAACGGCATCTGACAGTGAGACGGTTCAAAGCAACATCTTCTCTCCCTCTCCTTCCCATCCCTTGCAGTGATGCAAGAGCATGCCACAAGCGGGTCTTGGAACACCTGAAGATACAACCACCACCCCCGCCCACCCCCCCTCCATCCCCCTTCTGCATCCCATCCCTTCCAGTGATGCTCTTCGCTCCTTCCAATCCCTCCGCATGCCACGAGTGCAAGCGGTGGCAGCACGTTACGCTGCTGCTTCAAAGAAGCTGTATGACGAGAAGAAAGGGAAGAACGCAGCAGGGAATGAGGGAGGATCAGGCAGTGAAGGAAGTGAGGCGGATGCAACGCCAATGTTTGAAGAGGTTCAAGCGGCAATGGCTGCAGTGGCGGCACGAGAGGGGCGTGATCCCGACGAGGACCTATATGGTTATGACATTGTGGTTTGGGAGGAGGAGGATCATCGTGTTGTGAGTGCTCTGCACTAACGTGTCCTTGTTAAAGAATGTGCCGTTACAAGGAGGCATGATCCTGATGAGGACCTGTATGGTTATGACTGATGGAATGGGTTGGAAACCCATAGAATCGGTTAAGGGACGAAGCCCTTTTCATGATCGTAGTATCTTGGATTAAAGACTAAGTATTGGCAGTGGAAGTCTTGTATGAGTTAAAGCCAGTTGTAGGAGGCTTTGTCTGGACTAATATACGCTCATGTAGTGATATGTTTCAGGATCTATGTCTCTGAAATTAGATATATTATAAAGTGACAAGCATACAGAATATATAGCTAGACAAAAGTACTTGTTCGTATACTGTAGCCGAATGTATCTATTCGTCATTCTAGGGGTGTTGAAATGCTTCATGAAATGCTTCCCTCGAGCTCGCCGCCATGGCGGCTTACCGTTTGCCTGGAACTCACATTGCGTGAAGCCCGATCATCAGCTGGCTTTAATTTTACCGGCATTGTCTTCACTACACCTTTACGAAGAAGTCTATACCTATTATGTGTTCATCATACGAGCATTGCGTGGATTTCTCAAGGGTGTCCTACGCTGGTCCAAGTTTCAAAGCCCAAGGCTAACGCCAGGCCCTCAGATTCACTTTTAGGGTCGTCAACCCATCAGGGCCCCCTTGTGTGTAAACTCTGATTGACAGTGTTCCAAAAAAAAAAGAGCCTGAAATGTCAGTGTTGCGTTTGTAAAAAGCCTGATGCATCAGTGTAGCACTAGTAAAAAGGCTGTCACTAACGCGTCGCATGTGATGGCAACGGGGCAGGATCCTTGGCAGCCCTCCAACACCACATGGTGGCCACGTTCGGATTGGCCAAGACTGACTGCTGCAGCGAAACGGCCCAATGATGTGAGGCGCCGCGCCAACAAAACACCTCTGAACGTGAACCAGAGGCAGAATTTCACAGGTTGGCCTCGCCACAGGGTGCTTACACCTCGGGAATCTGAGATTCCCTGTAATTGCGGTCACATGGCACAGGTAAGAATCGCTTTAGTGTTGGTTTCGTTACAACGTTGTGGCATCAGTGTCCTAGGAGAAAAAAGTCTGAAATTTCAGTGTGGCCTAACAAAAAAGGCTGAAAGATCAGTCCCTCAAAAATCTCAACACTGATTTTTCAGGGTAGGTAAAAAAAGGACTGCCAAAATCAGGAATTTCAAGGTTTTTTTCCTGATATCTGAGGCCCTGGCTAACGCGTGGTTCTCTAGGTTACGGCATAACATCAAGGAACCACCAAAGCTAACATTCATTGGCCACGCAGATGCTGTGCAACGGGATGATCCCGAAGTTTTATCTTCAGCGTCACAACATCTATGTCAGGAAAAATGGTCTTCCACAGGCGCTCTTCATGTACTTAACTCTGCTGTGTTCAGACAACTGGCTCATCAGTTTCCTCAGCTCATTTCTTCAGAGCTTTTGCCAGTCTATTGTCATCATTGCACGATGCCTCCGAAAGGCTCTCGCGCTAAGGCGGTGGTTGACGCTCCTGCTGGTGGTGGTGATCTTGCAAGCAAGTCGACACCAAGCAAGGGAAAGGAGGTCATTGACAACCTTCCGTCCGAAGCGGAGGTGACGGCTGGAAGTTCTGGTCTCACCATTGAGGAAAAGCTGCAAGCGCTGGCTACGGTTGCTTCGGATGACACGTTTATTGAGGATGATTCAGACGAGGAACTTGAGATTGACACGACCAAGAGTGCTCACCCGCATTTGCGCTTCATGACGATTTTGCTCTTCCCGGTTATTCCTTCTCGCGAGGTTGCTTCGGTGATTCTGACCGTGAGGATGCTGATGAAGCGTGTCTGGTCTAACCTGCTCACTGATGATGTCCTCGCCTCGGTGAAGTTCCAGGAGCTGACCCCCGCGTGGGTCGCAAAGGCCCGCTACAGCCGGCTTCAGGTCTCCTTCCTGCATGAGTCTGACGCGGTGAAAATCAAGCAAACGGCGGTGGAACACAAGCGTCAGAACGGATCGACACTTCATTGTTTCTGGCTGCACCAGGAGGACACCGCTTACCTTCGCAAGAAGGCTTCGGGCCCGCAGCTGCTGGAGGTCTATTTTAAGGATGTTCCCGCGGATATCCCGCCGGAGCTGGTCAAGGAGGTAATGGTTACTCACCCGCTCAGGATGCGGAAGCAGTCTGCTTTTGCTGAAGGCCACTGCTTCCACCGTGTCCTTCACCCCGTCACCGGCGCTGACACTGATCGGATCAAGGGGCTGGTGGTTCAGCACGCTGGCGACAAGCATCGCTGGCATCACGAATTTCGCCATCAGCTGTTGGGAGGGAAGACACTGTTGGCCCACTACCCGTTGCTATCCTGTCCGCTCTGTGGTGGCCACCATTATGACAAGTTTCATAATGTTTTCATCACGGAGCGTCAGAATAACATAGGGAAGTGGAGTTTAACTGTGGGTCGGGTCCATAGGATCAATGGTAACCGCTGCTTACGCTTGTTGGGTCGTTGCTTTACCTTTCGTATCTTGTCAGTCACTGACGCGCCGCTTTCCCCTCGCAGCTGCTTCTCTCCGCGCTTCTCCGCTTATCACTCCGTTACTGCTGGATGTGAAGAAATGAGGAATGAATGATGAACTAGGAAATGAGTTGGGTACAAATATGAAACCCTAGAAAGCTGTACCCCATACTGTCTACCCCACTACAGCCTAGAAAGACTATAGCATATAAGTTTGACACACCCCCATAGGCAAAGTGGGGGAGAACAAGGAGTCACAAGACCAGTCAAGCAAAGCACAGCAAGCTCAGGGTGGATCACAACGTCACCACACATTCTGAGCACAAGTTCAAGGGCCACAAGGCCAGTTCACATGCAGAGATATATATATAAAGTTAAACATGCAAGTGCAAGTATATAGGTCAAAGTACAAGCAAGGTCAAGAAGTGAGCAAGTGAGGAAAAGTAGGTACAAGACCTAACAGAGTACAGAAGCGCTGATGATCACAAGGCGCAAGTGCCTTGGTGAAGATATCAGCAGTGTTGGCCTGAGAGGCCACGTAAGCAAGTCGCAGCTGACCACGCTGCTGCAGCTCACGAGCAAGGAAGTAGCGAAGAGCAATGTGCTTCGTTCTGTGCTCCAGTCTGTGCTCACGACACAAGGCCAGCATGGCCTTGTTGTCTACGTACAGAACTGGAGGAGAACGAGGCGGCTCTCCGAGGTCAGTCAGCAGGTAGGTGAGCCAGCGTAACTCCTGTGCAGCCATGGCCCCTGCGTAGATCTCAGCCTCACAGCTGGAGCTGAGAACAGAAGAAGAGCGGGTAGACTGCCACGAAACAGAACCGGAACCAAGGCTGAAGGTGTAACCCTGTGACGACCGCTGCGTAGCCAAGTCGTCAACCCAAGACGCGTCTGCGTGACCAGTGAGGACCACTGCACTCCGCCCTCCAAGCACTAGCCCCATGCCCGACGTACTGCACAAGTAGCGCAACACCCTCTTCGCTGCAGCCATGTGCTCAGGGAGGTGTCTCCCAGGAGCAACATAGCGTGCCAGAATGCTAAGAGGGTATGCAAGGTCAGGTCGTGTGCAGGTCATCAGGTACATGAGGCAGCCAACAAGCTCTGGGTACGGGCCACTCGGCTCTACGGACTCATCCGAAGGCAGAGCTGAGAGCGAGTGGCAAGTAGACAGAGGAGTGGCCTGTGGCGAGGAGTACGTGAAGCCGAAGCGCTGAAGGACCTGCTGCACCATGTGTGACTGAGTCAGGGTAATGGTGCGCTGTGCTCTGTCCCGGGTGATCTGCAAGCCAAGGTAGCTGCGCAGTATACCCAGGTCTGTGCACGTGTGTCTCTTCTGCAGCTCGGACTTCACGTAGGCGAGTCCAGCAGTGTCAGCTGTGGCAAAGACCAAGTCGTCGACGTACACGAGGATGTAGAACGGCGGCAAAGAGGTGTCGGTGCGCAGAAACAGCGACGGGTCGGCAGTAGAAGGAGCAAACCCAAGAGCCGCAACTGTAGTCCTCAGTGTGTCGTGCCACTCACGAGGTGCCTGGCGGAGACCGTAGACTGGCCGCCGGAGGCTCCACTGGGTGCCAGGAGGAAAAGACCCAGTGAAGCCAGGTGGGCGGCGCAGCCAGATCTACTCGTGCAGGCTACCCTGTAGGAAAGCAGTGCTGAAGTCAAGAGAGTGAAGCTCGTAGTCGCGCTGAGCGGCTATGTGCAGTAGTACCCGAAGAGTGGTCATCTTCGGGGTGGGAGAGAAGGTCTGAAAGTAGTCAACTCCCTGCCGCTGACTGAAGCCTCAAGCCACGTAACGCGCCTTGAAGACAGGCGGAGAACCCGGGGGCCGCTTCACCCTGAAAATCCACATGCCACTGACGATGTTCGCCCCAGGTGGGGGAACCTCGTCGACGTAGGTGCCTGTGGACTTCCAGGAAGCCATCTCTGCGTCCATGGCTGCCTGCCACTGAGAGGAGTAGGGACCCTCTATCGCCTCCGCGTAAGAGCGCGGATTCAGGATGTCTGGTGCATCCGGGTCTCCCTCAGGGGCCAGCAGCATGGACACGAGATGAGGTGAAGCAGCAGCAAAGCACTGGAACTCCTCCTGCCTGTCCTCAAGGACGTCCGTGCCAAGGGCACACTCACCCCCGACGGACGGAGGACAGACAGACTCAGACTCACCGACAAGACTAGCAGCGTAGTCTAGACGACAGCGAGCAGCAAAGTCGACAAGCTCAGCAACTAAGGCAGACGCAGCAGTGGACTCGAAGGAAGGGTCAGTGACGACAGTAGCAAGGAGACGCGTGACAGTAGGACTGGCAGCACAAAGTGAGTCCGACTCTGGGTCAGCAAGAGCAGGAAGAGAGGACTCAGGAGGAGAAGGCAAAGGGGCACGCAGCGGAGCAGTGGAAGGACGCAGAGACATCTGGTGCGTGCCGGGGACAGGGGGAGGACGCTGACGCGAACCACGACCACTAGTGCGAGCAGCACGGACAGGCGACGCAGGACGAGATGCAGGCTCACGACGCTCAGCAAGACCTCCAGTAGGACCAGTGTAGGGAGAAGGAGCAGGCAGTGGGGAGGCTGGCTGTAACTGTGACTCAGACTGGACAGGCGGCGGACACTCTAAGAGAGGAGCAGGACTAGTAGAGGGCGGAAGACCAAGAACCTGTTCAAGGAGCGGAACAAAGTACGGTCGCGGCCGTGCAGCACCCCCAGAACCAGCAGGAACAGCACCAGCACCCCTAACGGCAGCACCAGCTCCAGTAGCACCCCCAGCTACAGTAGCGCCAGCAGCTCCAGCACCAGCACCCCCAACAGCAGCACCAGCTCCAGTAGCACCCCCAGCTCCAGTCGCGCCATCAGCACCAGCTCCAGCAGCACCAACACCAGCACCCTCAGAAGCACCAGCACCAGCAGCACCTCCAGCGCCAACACTCCCAGCAGCTCCAGCTCCAGCTCCAGTACAAGGAGTACCCACAGGCCCAGCAGCTCCAGGACCTCCAGTACGAGCACCTCCGGGACCCGTGGCACCAGCACCCTCAGCAGCAGTGAAACCTCCAGCACCAGCAGCTCGGCTCCAGCGCCGAGCAAACCACTCGCGCAGCTCCGGTGGAGAGAGTAGCTCTCGCCGGGACGAAGCACCCGAAGGACCTCCAGGCCCAGTCCCTCCAGACGCCACACGAGCAGGCTCAGCACCCCCAGGCTCCACACCCCCAGGCTCAGCACCCCCAGGCTCAGCAACCCCAGGCTCAGAACCCCAAGACTCAGCACCCCCAGACTCAGCACCCCCAGTCTCAGCGCCCCCAGAGTCAGCAATCCCAGGCTCAGCACCCCCAGGCCCCGCACCCGCAGGCTCAGCACCCCTAGTAGCACCAGAGTCAACAGCTACCTCGACAGGCTCGACTGCGTCTACCTGGGACACACCTGAGGGGGCAGGACCCTGAGGGGGGAGGGGGTCTACCGGGGGGGGACCTGGCGCGAGGAAGAGCGGCGGCGGGGAGAGGGACGCAGTGCGGTAGGGGAAGAGACGGTAGAATGGAACCGACTCGTCAAACGTGACGTCCTGAGAGGACAGAACACGGCGCGAGGTGGGGTGGTAAAACTGCCAACCAGGCGCGTCAGGGGGGAAGCCAAGGAAGACGCAGGGAACAGCACGGGGGGAAAGCTTGTCCGCAGACAAGTCGCGGACAAACGCCCGAGATCCCCAGACACGGAACGCAGACGCATCGCCAACCTTCCCCGTCCACCGCAGAGCAGGGGAGGTCTCCGGCATGGAGACCCGGGGCTGAAGGTTGATCTGATGCGCCGCGTACTGAACCGCGAACGGCCACAGAAAATGGGGGGCAGCCGCATGGATCATGGACGTACGGGCGACGTCCATGACCATGCCAATGCGGTGCTCAGCAATCCCATTTTGCTGTGGAGAGGCCGAAAGCGTGAACGGCTGGCGGATGCCTCGTGCACGACAGAAGGCTCGCAGAAGGTCAGAGGAGAACTCTCCGCCTCTGTCGGAGTGCAGACGCAGAACAGGAAAGGCCGAGCCGAAACTCTCTCTGAGCTGGAGACGAGCAGCGCGGATCCAGTCGATCAACACCCCAGTGACCTCACCCTTGCTGCGCAAGGGCAAGACTGTGGTGTAACGCGAGTAGTCGTCAACCACCAGCAGGAAGTAACGCTCGTGACCCTGTCCACGGACGCGGGGTGGGCCCCACACGTCCATGTGAAGCGTCTGCAGCGGAGCCTCTGTCGGAAGAAACTCGGAGGAGTGAGGAGCAGCGCGCTGCCGCCCCTCGACACAGGGAACGCAGGTAGGGGCAGGCCCTGGAGGAAGAGGAGGGAGGGACCGGGGGAGACCAGAGACAAGGACACGGGAGGCCATGCCTTGGAGACGAGGCAGGGAGGGGTGACCAAGGCGGTGGTGCCAGAGGAGATTCTGGTGAGACAGGAGACGACACGAGCAGGGGGCAGACTCAGAACCAGACCTGGACGCCGCAGCAGACACCTGACCCGAGGCAGCTACCTGACCAGACGTAGCAACCGGAGGAGACCCAGTAGTCAGTGTGTACAGGCTCGACCCCGGCCGACGGGTAAAAGTGGCCAAGTGTCGGCCCGTCCGAGCACACGTGCAGTGGGTCACGCGCTGATTCGCAGGAGTGAACTGGTGAACCCCCCCATCCTGTAGATCAGCACCACTCACCAAGTTCGTAGAGAACGAGGGGAGGTAGAGACCTGACAGGGTACCAGAAGGGGCCGCCGGACACGGTAAGACAGTGGAGAAGTGGGCAAGGACAGGACCCCCAGAAGGGTCTGCCAGGGAGACCGCAACTGGCTGACTAAGCGGCGTGAGTGTGGTGCGGTCTCTAAAGAAGGAGCGGGAAGCACTCGAGTCAAGGGTGAAGGTGTGGGAGGCCTGAGTCGACGTGGTACCTGAGAGAGCAGAGTCACCAGCACCTGGGGCAGCAGGCCCACTAGCACCTAGAGCAGCAGCCTCACCAGTACCTAGAGCAGCGGCCTCACCAATGCCCGGGTCAGGAGGAACACACAGGTAACAGTCACCCTCATCACTAGTAGACACAGCATACATGGCAGCAAGAATAGCATCATAGTCAAGATCAAAGATAGC